GAGAAGAATTCTGTTTGAAATTGTTATTCTGTTTGGAGAGAAAAACTCGCTTTTCTTTAAATCATTAACAGAGTGATAAGTCTTGTAAAATGATAAGTAACATCATTTCACTCATTCGCGTTAATTGATTATAACACAATTAAAAAAAAGATAAACGATTTCTTACAATTTTCCATACATAAATTAGCCGTTACGAAGTCGAAGCAACTAGGAGATAATAATAGTAGATATTATTGGTTCAAAGTGCGTTAGCCCAAAAAGGTTATTAATTTTTTTGGCATTTTGTGGCGTTTCACTATGAATGGCGTTTGAATTTTCAAATAGTTCCCACCAAATATTATCGCCCTTATTATATTTAAAGAAATTAAATAATGAAGTTATGTGCATAAATGTATGCACTCTCGTTGTCAGAGGTTACATGAGGACTCGGATGTTGAGTCAAAGAACTCAGTAGTGATGGTTTTTCCGGTTACCAAAGTTACTCAGTTTGCACGGAAAATTAATAGAATTGCTACGAATCTAACTGTTTTCTTTGCGTCTCTGATTCGGAATGATGCAGGTAGAAGGATCTATAAGAAGAAAAAAATTTTGAATCTAAATGTTACCATCCACGGATTCAGATCGAATCTAATTACTACAATGATGTACTTTTACTGCCAAAGATTTGGCCACTGCAACAATGTGCCGGAACGTCTTAAGTGCGCGTTTTATCATTTAACTTACATTTGTAATTTATCGAAAGATGGAAAACTCACCTGTGTAAGGTGCAAAAAATCACATATTGCTTCTTATAAGGGTTGCGAATTTTATCCGAAAATTTGCAGTAGTTCAACTGATCATAAGACCGCTTTTGTAAAATGAAAATAAGAAGATTGTCGAAAATCTACAAAACCTGTTACTGATGTTTCTACAGTCCAAGAGGCTAAAGACTCTAATTCTAAGAATTAGTATTTTAACAAATTTGCTGATGTGCAATTTAAGAAACTTCTCGGTTCGGCAAAATTTCACATTTTGCTAAGATACTTAAAGACTTGAGCTCTCAGGAAGATAACCTTCAGCTAGCGCTGGAGTTTATTGTCTTAATTGAAAAGCTGAACATTTAATTTATTCTATTTTCAGCTTGACTAAAAGATGATTGAGTACAACTTCCTATCTTGCTCACCAGATGGCAATAGGTCCTAGAGTAATGAATCTACTATTCTATAATCACAATGATTCACTGCTTTTTTTATCTGTTTTGTTTTTCGCCATCTTTTTTTTTCATCTTATAACTGTTAATTTATTTTTCTGTCTTAGTTCTACATATTTATGACTTTGTATTTTAGATTATCTATTTTTTCTTCTTGCGGGTTAATTGTGCTTGATTTGAGCAGGAATAAAACTAGTTAATTACACTAGCTTTAATTATTAATAATTAGCTTTCTCTCTAGATAACGCTTTGCATTGCGTTGTATTTTAACGTTTCTAGTTGTTTGAAGTATAACTACTGATTATCCTGAGTGATATTGCGAACACTTGTGCGAACGCTTGTATCTCTGAGGAAACTTCCAACGTTCTGATATATATTTCTTTTAATAAGACTAAATTTTATTAACCTATTATCGGTTTTGTGCATTCAGTCTATTACGAACCTATACGCACGCAACAATACGGATTACATCTGCAAAGACCACTGTTTCCAAATCGTAGAAATCCATATGCTTTTCTGAATTACTGCTGTTTTGCATTTTATTCCTTAATTTAAATCATCACGCTATAATTTCACTATTTATTTATACATCCCTCACACTTTTCGTTTTCCCCTTTAATTTGTTTAAGAACAAACAATTAACCAATATGTCTTAAAATATAAATTGCAATCAGGAGATGGAATGCGATTTGATGCGTGACATTGAAAAATCTCGTTCTGTTTTTAGCTTGAAGAGTCATGCTAAAAAATTGTGCTGCTTTTTTACTGCACAAACAGGAAGAAAGACAATGATAAATGAGGAAATGGGAAGAAAAAAATTCTTTTCCTACGTCTTGTGGTTGAGGAAGACTAATTAATGTAAGCCTAATGATGAAGCTTATGTTATTCCTTTCTCAAAAATCTGAGAAATTTTTTCTTTCTTTTTATTAACCCTTCTGTTTGAGAAATGTTGGTTTACACGTTCTTTTCCCTACATTTTACGGAAATTCCTTAAAGCCCATCGACTTGAAAATTTTCCTTTCTTTTTTTTTTCTTATCTTAATTTATCCTGGAACGTCTTACGCATATAAGTAGGGTTTTAAGGTATTAAGATTAATGAACGACCTTTAAGCAGCGTAAGAAGGCATTTCATTCTCCAAACATAGACTTTTTAATTATTTCTTAACTCTGAAATTTGTTTAAGGTATTTTAATTCAGCTAAAGGAGTTTAACTTTATTACTTTCATTATAAGAACTGAGAACTTCCGCACCAAAAACAAGATAGGCTTTTAACAGAAATTTTGGTACTTTAACTCTTAAGATATTAGGCAAATATTCTGAAGACAAATTGTTTAAGCCTAGATAACTAATTTTCACCAATTTGTTTGTTTTAGTAAGAAATATAAGTTCACATTTAAAAATAATTATAACTACTGATTTGGAATATTTTATTCTATTTTGTTCTAGTGTAAGTTTTAGAGCTATAAAATGTCTGATGCTTTCAGAAATGTGTTAAACACGTTTTATGTAAAAGGCTTTTGTTTTCAGTGAAATCATTCATTCCTTTATGCATAAAATGAAAACGTAATCCTATAAAACGATACATACCTTGCATAAAAAATAAATGTAAATTATCGAGCCAATTTACCAATTTATAAATGAATATTGCATGAAGGTAAAGAATAAAATCTCTTCCTCTTCAAGGAAAGCATAGATAATTTAGGTATACAATAAAAGACAATCATCTGATTCAGACGTGGGTTGTTTTATAGCTTCACTGTAATATGTATTTATTTGTGTTACATTGATTAGAAGATAACCAAAATGGAAAAATATTAGCCAAAAGATGGGAAAACATTATGAACATTATTAAGTTAAAAAATCAATAAAAAATTATTATTCACATAAAACGTATTATTAACATTATTAAGAAAACATTATTAAGTTATTATTAGCAATACATATACCGTAAATTCCGGCGTATAAATGCTCACCTTTAATTTCAAAATATGTTTTTTTAGTTTTTAATGACATCATTCGTCGTTTAACGCGCACGTATTTCTTTACGAAGAAACCTGAATGATACATATGTAATGCTCTTCTCTTTTGAAGTCAGTCTTTCGAACATTGGCATACTGAAATAACAAGCAATAAGAAAAGCAATATGTGTGTGGGGCGGAGGAACGCTTGAAGGAGCAAATAATTCTGCAAAGAGTATGAATTCTATTCAGTTCAGATGTACACAACAGTATTGTTCTAGGGTTTCAAGAAAAGGGGGACATAATTGGAGGTAAGAATGCACTTCGGACCCAAATGAATTCGAGAATTAAGCAGTTTGATATTTTCTCTTTCTTTTGTTATTTAAAGCCGTGATTTTGAAATGAACATCGAAGGCAAGGAAGGAAAAAAAAAGAGTCCAAATGCGTCATGCTAGTCTAGAAATAGTTTGGAGTGGATAATAAAAGCATGGAATGAAATTAAACCCGATATAACTCTAAAGTCATAAAAAATGTAGTGTATCCAAAAATCTACGTGGAACGGAAGATGAGTATGTATTTATGCATCAGAATAACTTTGAGGGTGAAGATGAAACAGAATTCTAGGATGTGCCTGAATATATACCGCAAGACGAATATGACAAACGTTTTATGTTATCAGATAAAGAAATTTTTAAGTTCATTAGGAATATAATTTCCTTTAAACGATTTGCATTCAGGTAACTATAGAAATATAATTTTCGTATGCTCATCTTATTTTTAAATCTAACATTTTTATATCCGACGTATAACGTGTACCTGTAAATTTCGATGTTATATTTTGTATTAAGAAAGCGCTTTTTACCCCGGAATGTAAGGTACTTAAAACTCTCTGTCGAAACTTAGGACAAGATCTCAGAAAACAGGATATATTCTTCGTCGACGAGACCAGCCCGTCACAAAGCCGTGTAATTGTTTTAAAACCTGACGCAAACGAGCGATGACAGCTAGAGAACTCTTTGTCCCTCTCGAGCTTACTACAAGCAAAGAAGAGAATTTCACGGAGAACGTTCCAGAAAAGACCTCATGGGAAGACTTTTTTACGCTTCAAGAAACGTTTTGTCTACATATTTCATTAGTTAATCGATAACGTGAGGATGTCACAATCCGATACTTATCCTTCAGTAGAGCGCTAGTCAGTTATTGTAAATTGTTTCCATAAATACCAGTTTCATACACAATCAAATTGAATTTTATAAAATTACCAGCTTAATGAACCATAAAACTGAATTCCATAGAATATTCTATGAAACCGACATAAAGTTTAGGCACAAAACTTATACATTTTATGATATTATAAAACTGAATAGCAAAATTTACAATTAATAAAGTACATGAAATGAGAAGAAATATAGGTTATATTTAAACCATTCAAATATTTTTGTTATGAGCTTGAATTTCTAATTTGAAGTTCTATAATTTTGAAGTAACATGCATTTTCATCTGAACGTATTGAAAGAATTGAGGCGTTATAAGATTGGCAGAAAATGTTTTCTTATTTCTTATGTACTTTAAACGTCCCTGAAAGCATACATACTGAGTTTTACTTTGTCCGCTCGAAATGTACAAAGAAAGAAACAAAAGAACGCGCTCATACAGCTTTTAAAACAAACTATTAGCATATTTTACTTGTGAAGTAATTTTAATCTACTTTATATTATTATGTTTTCATCGCTAAGGGGTAATGATAGTATATTGCTAGCAAGTTCCACTCAGCTATTAGCCAGAAAATTTTTCTGATTTCTGGCCACTTTTTAACATACAACAAACGTAATGTATTTTGAACTCAGACTTACCATGTATATCCAATTTAATCCATTTGACCATTGGTGCGAGTGTGGCATTACTCTGCACGCGGCACTCGAGTTTGGATTCCAAGTCCCATCTGGATAGGACAAATCTGGCTGTTGCGATAACGTCACTTGCACCGTCTTCTCCAGTCTGAACATGATTCTTCGCAATCAGAGATCTAGTTCCATTCCAGAGGGTAACAAGGGGAGGTGGTCTGCCGCCTGTTGACCTGCAGTCCAATATGAAAGTTGAACCCTCTGTGTATGGCCCAAGTGTAGAAGCATTTTGCACCGGAGATCCATCGACATACATTTCAGGAGGTTTGGGTTTCACTAAAAAATATTAAAAGAAATGTGTTACATGGAAAAAAAAATTTGCTGAGCTTTTGAATTTTATTAGGATTCTTACATACAAAATCAAGTAAGAATATAAACCATACTGTAATTCAAACGCATTTTTATTTTATAGTATTATTGATAGAATTCTTTGCGATAACGCAATTGTTTTAATTATAGTAGTAAACTGCTGCAGCTGTCATTATAGTCTATTTCTTTAAAATATTAAATATAGTCTATTTCTTTAAAATTTTAAATAAATTTCTTCAAGGTTGTTTTCCATCCTCCAAGATGATCGCAACTATTAGAAGCAACAAACGAGGTAAAAAGGCCGAGTTGCTTAATCTTTTTACCCTTTATTTCCGTTTAGCGTACTTCGTTTCATTAAAAGCGCACGAATGAAAGATGGCTTGAACTATAGTCTCAAATGACGTGCAGAAAATATATGCTGAGAGGTGATAACAACGCGTGTTGCGGTCACAAATGAAGGAGGATGCTGGCAGAAACCTTGAAATGTCTATTTTATAGTAACAGAATATGATATTGCTTGTATCAGAGAGGTTTAAATCAGCGATCTTTTTAAAGATAATTTTTTCAAGATTTAGAGATTCAAATAATTAATATTGAAATTGCATGTATATCATAGCTACATCAAATGAAATTCACCAAACTTATTTACAAAGGGTTTCTCACTCAGTTTCTAATAATCTCTAAGATGTTCAAAGTTTAGCGATAAAATTCCCTCATCTGTGTCATGCTGCATTATTTTCATGTAGATTTTATAAGTACCTCTTCGATAAAAATTCCTATCATAAAGATTTTATCTTGGCTGCTTGTCCGAAAATCTGTTTCTATTCAACATTGGCAAACTAATAGGTGTATAAAGTTATCAAGCAGCATGGCAAGCTAAATGTTATAGAGTAAAGAGTTATATAAAATAGCTTCATTGAATTCAACGATAATTTTAATAGTTTTATATAATACAAATTAATTTGTATGTTTCCACACGGAATTCTCAAGATTTGAAATTTTTCTGTGTCTCGTGAGCATCATTATTTTGTTCACAACTTCTTTTTATAAATCGCAGCGACGATTCCTCTACAAATATTGAAACAAATCCCATTATATTTGTATCATAAAATTAGGCCCGTTCCTGGCGTCCATGCAGCGAATGTTCCACATGCAGGAGGCAATATTTAGGAGTGGCAAATTCAGTCTGTGTCCTGTAAAGCGGAAGTCACCATTGCAAAGACAAATACATTATCCAATGATTTATTCGTGCAAAAGGCGATAAAAAGGGCCTTTGTTTTGTCGAAAGGCCAAAATAAATTATTAAATTATATATTTGAAATTATACAAGGGCTCACACAAAAATTTGTCTACAGGCGCTCGGCCCCTTCCCAGGAACCGTACCTGCAGAAAACACCCACCTAAATAATAACAACACATTGCTAGTTAGCTTATACCCACACAATTACCAATGGTTAAAAAATGGGTGTCCGCTGCACCCATGTTTTACTGAACCTGAACCTCTTAGTTAGCGTATCAGTAAAGTATTACGGAAGAAAACCGTCAGCATATTTTTAATCGACGCCCAAAATCTCTTACATATTGAAACAAACCAAGGTATTTAAATACTATATGTCTTTTTGCCTTTATTAACTTTCTAATTTTTAATGCTTTTTTTGCTTAACGATATATTAGAAGTTCCACTGTAACCTGAAAGTGGTATCTGTGGTTAGAAAGAGAAAAGAAGGAAAGAATGATGAAATTTTAAAAATCTGAAAAAATTTGTCCAGGCTCTAAATTGCTGGATTGATATGTTCATATTTTCGCTACAATGACACATGGAAGGTCTATCTCAATTCTTTACATTTCCAAACTGAAAGTCAATGGAAAAAAGTTAATGACTTCCAGTCGACCAACCCATTTTTCATGATGAATTATCATTGATTATTTTAATTTTAGTTCGAGTGTCTGTAGTACAGAATACAGGAGTCTAGAAGTCTAGTAATCTTTGAAAAGTCAGCTGTCTTCTTACTCAAATTCTAACTCTAATGGTAATCAGAATTGAGTTTTCCAATTGCGCATTAATGTATTGAACTTTAGTATTAACAGCGTATGCATAGAATGCCTTAAACACTTACTGAGTTACTTCTCGAGTTTTGTATCGTAATTTCTGAATTTATAGTCCCTTGGTTGTAAAAATGTGCCTTTCGTTAAACTTTTAAATTGCATAAACTTTATGAGGTTACGGTCGAAAACATCGCGGAGGACGCAAGGCGAAATCTTCGTGATACGAGATATATAGCTGTAGAATTAATTTAACAGTACATGTTATAGTACAAGTCCGATTTTCCGGCAACGAATAATTCAGCACATCCAACAACGCGGCATCCTTTTTTCCGACTTTCTTGCCTTATGATGCCCTATTAACATTTCATTCAACAATTTTCGGAAAGCCTCAACAGTTTTGTTTTTGCTTTTTTCCCATTGTCATTCATTCAAGGCTATTCTTTCACTTCATTTATTTATATCTTTAGTTAAAATATTTAAAAAAATTGATAAAAATTTCCTAAACGGATTGAAACACGAATTGTCCATGGATGAAATGTTTGTGACTGTTTTATTTTAAACAAGAAGCATCATCGAAAATAAACAATTGATCTCGAAAGATCATGTGAGTTTTGAACGGAGTAGTACTATAAATTTATTTATTAACGAATTTAACTCATTCATTCAATAACGTCAAAAATCCGTTTGCAACATTGTATAATTATAGTCCAATAAATAGGATATTTCGGTACCTTTGACATCCAGTACATGCCAGATTTCCGCAATTTTGCAACATATTTACGCATCCGGACATGTGACACTCACTCAACAAACTCATTTTTGAAAGCCGTTAAAAGAAATTAAAGCAAAAAATAGGTACATAAAATTTTCTTGCACTTTTCAGCGGTTACCAAACTTCTTTATTTATCAGCTAATGTAATGTACGTCGATTTTTAGTATATATAAACAAAAGGCTTTCAACAATGTATGCGTAAATATTCTGTAATTTTGTACTCTTTACCCAAATTGCTCAAATGATATCTATTACGTTTTCCGATGTAAACATGTTTATTACCCATCCGGTATTTCTAAGTATCACACTTATGTAGGTACTACATACAGGAACTCCCGCCTTACCGAGTACCTTTGTAATGAAATTGGAAGGCCCTCCAGCTAGCAATCTCAAGGTTCAGAGGTAGAACCCCAGAGACGGCACTGCGCATTTTCAATGCTTCTTACTTTAATAAGCGTTCCAAGCGTTAGTTTGTTGCTCTACAAATATTAATTGAAATTTTTGGAAAAATACACATGTCATTAAATCTGGGGCTATTTTCACAACCCATTTTTCTATTACCATTTAGTCCTACCAGCCGCTTAAGGATAAAAACTGCTGAACCCTTGTAGTTCCGACCTGGGTTCGATTCCAGGCGAACCGGCTGGCTGCATGACCGTTTTCGTCTTTTTTCCCATGTTTACGTGTACGCTAGCAAAATTTCCTTAGGCCGATATCCCAAGTGTGCTTTGCCATAATAATCAAGTCAAACCAATCTAATATTATTTATAATTTGGTGGTGCAATAAATTTAAATAAATAACGGAGACACAAAAGATGATAGAAGATTTCTATCGGCTATCTACAAATTTATATTTTTGAAGTGTTTCGGGCATTTTTATGAAAGCAGCAATCATCTCTTCACTTCATAGTTCTAGTTTAAGCTAATACCTGATAAATAAGGATTTGTATAGTACTCAATGAAAATTTCCCAAAACGTCGCCTGCGTCGATAAAATTGTTTGGAAGTTACTCTAACCATGTTTGTATTTTTTTCAAAATTAGTAAAAATTGGCTGTACTCACTTCGAAGATACAATTATAACATTTGTTATGCAGAAAGAATTAAGTTTTAACATAATTCCAAAGAAGGCGCCTCAGAGATTAAATGTCGAAATAATTCATTAAAGCAAAGAGAGATATACGGCTCAGAAACTACTCATCTAGTTAGCTTCTAACAAAATGACACTACTGTACGTAATTTAGACTAGTTACGTAATTGTAAATGGTAAGGATTAGGAGCAGTGTATGATCCTTTGCAGCATCAGCGAACAATTAAAAGCAATTACATTTCACGGATAATTTATCAGACGTCATATCATATGTTACAAACGCATAACAGAGGGATCCCTGAAAATGGTATGCAGAATTTCATTAAGTAGCTGGCAGTTTACTAAAGAAAGGAAGCAGAGTAACACTTTGACTGCCGCATCAATCATATGCGGGGAGACGGCAAAAATTTTGATTAGCTCGCGTCATCCGTATTTGGGTGACAGTACTTTGAGTACTTACGAGGTAGAGTAAGTATTTGAAAAAAGCTTGTTGATTGTTGAAAGAAAGAAATGAAAAATGATCATTGCCAACAGCTAAATTCATCTTCAATAAACTGAATTGTGCTTTGTTCCTAAACAACCAATTCTTGTAAACTATAATTAGTAGTATCCACACCACATTTATTTTTGTTGCATTTGTCAGCATTCGAATCAGAATTTGAAGATGTAATTATGTAATTATGTTTATAACTATCTTTATGAACTATTTCGACTGTTTCTCATCGCTAATATTCGAATTTTTGAAAGTCTCGTCACAGGTTTCTTCTTTACTGCTGTATGATTCACTCAGAAGTTATTCTTTGTTTTTCTTTTACACATTGCAAAAAGTTGGGGTAACAATTTTAACAAAAAAAAATTTCAATCATTTGTCACTACAGAAAAAACAGTTGGAAAAGTAGAAATAATTTTCGAAGCTCACGTCCTTTCTTTGATACTTCGTTCTTGAGGAAAGATTTTAAACTGAATTGCACATACCAAAATGTTTCGTTCTAGACATTCTAATCTCCTACGAATGAAAACAACTGAAGGATATTTTCTTACAAACTTGCGTAGCAGTCAAC